GCACGCACGCACACGCACACACACACACACACACACACACACACACACACACACACACACACACGCTCACACGAAGTAGTCTGCGCAATTGTTTTGATGACCTCTGTCTATGGGATATTTCTCTGACCCTGCGCTCTTGTCCTCAACGTACTCGTCACTCAACCTCTTCCCTCTCCTTTCCGTCGGCCCAGATTCATCAAGTGGGATAATTGTAGCTATTTAACAGTGGACCTGCAATAAATTGTCCAGTTCTCATGAAAAGATCTGTCATTATTGATGGTGTGGGCAACGGGAAGAAGGTTTAGTTGTGTCTGAAGTTATAAATAAAATGACTTCAGAGCTTTTTTTTTTCTTTCTTTGCACATACGACCTGTCCATGGTGCAACAATGGAGGGTCATTCTTCTTTCTTTTCTGTGTGTTATATCAACCACCATGTTGGGTGGCGTCGGTAGCCTAGTGGTTAGGCTATCGGACTCGTAATTGAGAGATTACGGGTTCGAGGGTTCGAGCCCCAGCTCCGCCCGACGTTGTGTCCTTGGGAAAGACACTTTACACGAATTTCCGACTTGGCTCGGTCCTTTGTGTTTCGGAGATGGACGTTAAACTCGGAAGCCCCCGCCTCTTAAATAACTCAATAATGTTGATAGGGGCGTTACACCTATACCATTTCACCATTTTCACGACCAAGTTGCCTTCTCCCCCCCCCCCCTCAAAAAGACATTCGGTGCGCTGTCAGCTCAGCCAGTAACATGCAGGGCCATGGTGCAGGTGACCTGGTTTGAATCCCCAGTTGTGCATTCTTGAACTATGGTTGGTGGAGTTTTCATGACTCTCCACTTTCTTGGCTCAGTCCTATAAGGGATGGACGTTAAATTGTGTGGTCTGTCCAGCCTCCAAGGTAACTTCAGTGTGAAGAAAGGGGCATTATTAAATCTGTACAATTATCTGCTTAGATCTTCACTTGTTACATATGACGTACATCATAAAGTGCACACCGCTACCATGGAGAACAGCAAGAGCCACTTAGGTGGTGCACAGAAAATCCTCTAGCATGTGACAGTTTAGACTCAGTGAGCCTCTTTCGCCCTGGCCGCTGATACCAACGAGGTATGCGCTCCCCTGATGTCATGGTTGAACACCAGTCCATGCAACATTTAGTACTGGGTTACATGTTACCAGTATTAGGGATTTCCCCTGACCTGAAGGACTTCAACATAAATCCTTCGACAGGGGAGAGCCTTGCTCCTGACATACCCAGCTGGAGAGCAGCAGTCACAGTGGGCGGCAAATCATATGAAGCTTCACGAATAAGAAATGCTGAAACCAAGAGAGAAGCCTGCAAGCTGCGCACATCCAAAAGTGGAAGTGGAGCCTGGAAATGTTCAAAATGTGGCAAACTTTTCTCTGCCAGAATTGGTCTCATTGGCCACAGCAGAAGCCACAAGTCATCGTAACCTTTAATTTTTCGAATTCTTCTATTTCGGTGGAAAAATATTCTCTTCTGTGGATGTATTGGTCATTGTCAGACATTGACTGACGAGCTATATATACAATTACCTCTTTTTGCCCAAACTACCTTTAGTGTCGTGCCGTGTATCTCCAGACCAAACTACATGTAAAGAGTGTGTTCACTTGTAAAGAAGATCGAGGGGCTGCACACATGTTTGGTTTGCTTTGTGTACCCAAGTTGTGTTCGGTCTTCCACAGTTTGATGGTCTCGATGTGAACTCGCTGATCCAGTCAATAAAGAGTGACGAGACCTCGCTCAGCATCGTCTCCCAGGTCTCTCTGCCCTTCATCATCGCTGGCTACGGTACTGTTGGAGCTGGAATGGTCTTAGACATTGTACAAGTAAGTATACAGTCGATCCTGCTCTAAGAACTATCCGTCTTAGACAAAAGTAAATACAAATGACCACTTTCCACTTCAATCCTTGTGTTTTTAAAAAATATTATGACACTGTCTAAGAGGATCACCTGTCTAAGATGACCAAGTTTTCTCTTCGACAGTGGATGGTTGGAAGGTTCCACTGATACTCTGTTACTTTCCCTCTTTCATTTCTATCCAGGGCTAAATAACTGATATAAAGATGCTGATGTGGATCTCTTCACTCAAACTAGAAAAAAAGAAAATTTAAGTGAGAAAAACATCCTTGTAAGCTATTTTATCTCGTGGATAAGACAAATATATGAATTTTCCCATTGTTTGAAAATTTGTTTAACTCAATGTGAAATAGAGTTGTAACCAAAGAAATTTATTCTTTCCATAGTCTTTCCTAATTCTAATTAATCCAGTTGTCTCAAAAATTACATAGTTTATCTTATATGTCAACATGATCAGGTAGTGCCTGGTTGTTAGTTGTGGTTCCTGTTCTCTACTCTAATTTACACTCAGTTCAAACCAGGATTTTTAGGTACAATTGATACTTTCACTAGTATAATTTTAAGCCTGTGCATAAGAACAATATTATTGTTCAAGTTAAAACTTAACACATGAAAGCAATTTGGTACCAACTTTGAAACAGGTATTTTTAACTTATGATTTAGTGTAATTTTTACTTATGGTTTTATGTAATTATTTAAAAAATTAAAATTGCCAACTGCATTTCATTTATGTAAGTCAATGGAATTCGAAGTGCACCAAGCACATGCTTTACAACTTACAGCCATGATTTTGGTCTTTCTTTCATAAAGAAGTTTTCAAAGGATAATCATACTTGGCACATGAGGTTTTTATTATTCATTTTGCATTGATGACTTTCCTCCACAGCATTGGGATGTGTTCATGAAGGTTGGAGAAATATTTATCCTTGTACCAGCGCTGTTGGGATTGAAAGGCAACCTGGAGATGACTTTAGCTTCAAGATTGTCCACACAGGTTGGTTGAGACTTTGGTTAAATTGTAACTAAAGCTCTTACTTGTTGCGCAGGTGGTTGGTGGGTGTCACTGGTAGGTTTTTTGCTTTTCTTTTCCTCTTTTGTTTTCTGTCTATCTGTCTTGCTTCCTCTCAGCACTACATGACCGTTATTTTCTCTACTTCAACTTACTTGTTGTTGGTTTTGTTTTGTCGGGAGTTTTTTGAGACAGAGATTGTTTGGCCTCAGAAGTATAGTGATTTGGCTACCAGACGAGTAATACTGAGATTGTGGGTTCAGGGGTTTGAGACTTAGTGTGGGAAAGGCACTTTATACAAACTTTTCTTATTTGGCTTGATTCTATTGAAGATGGACTTTAGATTAGGAGGTCGCACCTTTTAAATAACCTCACAGTGTTGTAAGGGGTGTTAAATTAAACTAAATAATTTTACTCAATTTTTTTCTCTAGAGTTGTTGTTTGTGTCAGTTTTTGGGACAAGTGGACAGTAGAAAACTGTTGTGGATTTCTATCTGAGATCAAGAAACATCTGTTGAGGCAGAATCTCTCGACTCCCCCAGTGATAAAGTGCTTTATATTAAACTAGTATTGAGACAGCGATCCATTTCATATGAAAACAGAATAAGATACTGGCAGTGTTTGAAAATTAATCTTCTCTTAACTGAAATGCTTGTTTTCTTGTTAGCTGCATGAAACAGTTGCAGTTGTGAAGGTTTCCTTTAAAGATAACGAATAGTATTTGATACATTTTGATTTCAAGTTCGAATCTCTTTATATTTCAAGTGTGGCATGTAATGTTTTGGATGGAATTTAAATGAAGTATTGTTTCTTAGGGGACTGCTAGGAGTATCGTGGAAGGAAACGAAATCAAATGAGGTAGTGCTTGATGAAGCCCACATGGGACGCTCAATGTTAAAAACAATCAGGAAACGACAAATGTAGTTTTTGGGACACCTGAATAGACATAAGGGTCTTGAACATCTTTCTCTCACTGGCAAAATTGAAGGCAAATGAGGCAAGGGTAGGCCCAGTACTATCTACTTGGGGAACCTAAACAAATGAGTAACAGAGAAACATCTGGGAAACGTAGCTTTATGAGAGCATCCGAGCAAAGGAATGAATGGAGAACCATGATCGCCGATGTCTGTCACAGATGAATGAATTAATTGTTGAACCTGTCCATTACAATCAGCTGTAAAAACGTGAACTTCCCACTTTCCCCTTTGTTTTTTGTTTTTTCTATATTATAATGACACGTCCAAGAGGACTACCTGACTAAGATGACCACGATTCTCCTTGACAATGCATGGTCTTATTGGACAGGTTTGATTGTTCTATTAGGGTGATGAAGGTATTCAAGAATTTGGTTGTAATGTTATTCACATGGTACTGATGGTTGTATTGTTACAATTTTCAATTTCAGGCAAATCTAGGAAATATGGATTCACGAAAAGAACTGCTCAAGATGGTTGGAGGGAACTTAGCTTTAGTTCAGGTATGATACCCCTAGGTCATTTAGACATGGAATTTGTCACAACAGAAGTGTTGAAGGTGGTTTACCTGATGAACCTGAGCTCGCACCAGATAGCAACTACTTTAACTTTTCTATACCCCAAACATGGCTCAGCATGCGTGACTATTGGCGGGTGCTCTAATGTGGATTGCTCCTTCTTTCCTATCAAACTTATATCTCTCCTACATAGCAATAAAGTTTAGAAGAGCTTATTGTGCTCATCTGTGACAGCTTGGGGAAAAGTACAAATTGGTGCAGGTTTTATATGTTTACCTTGGGTCCATGAAATCGTATATGAAATGTGTTCTTGTTCAAATCAGATCAATGAATAACAGATAAAGTAGTTCAAATTTGACTTTGCTTTGTCTTCGTTCTCGATGACAGCCAGTCAGTCCAGTGGTGCACACAAACTGTGCCGTGCAGTCTGCTTTAGATTCTCAAGGCTTTCATACAGTTTTCTTTCCTAATGATATAGCTTGAGAAAGTCAGAAGAAACATACCATGACACCAATCGAGGTAAACCACAATTGCTTGTAGTACTCAGTGTTAAATTAGCACCGTCTCCACAACACCATAATCATTCCTTTTGGTCTTAGTCAAATTGTATTGTAATAATAATGACAATGTACTAATTGCAATGACATTGCAAACTAACTTTTATTGCCTAGATCTGCTTGTTCACCATCTTTCTCGCTGTCTTCCATTCTTAATTTTTATCGCAAATAGCAGCACTATTATTGTTTGGTTAAACACATTTTTTTTTACTCAGCCATAAACAAATATTTTTTCTGGAAATGTATTCCACAGGTGTGGTGATGGTCGTTGTGATTTTGTTGTCCAGATATTTATAGCACATATCCATTCTCTACTCTGTGCTCTATGCGTTGTATAACTGTAGGTGGTCGGTAGGCACTGTGGTGTGGTTTGCTGCTTCTTTCCTGTCAATCATCCATCGTCATTATTGCTTCTCTTTTTGTTTTTTTGCATGTTACTTTTAAGTAACAACTCTAATTTTGGGCACTTATATAACACATTTGTGTTGCAAGTGCTGTAAAACTCATATTAAATCTAAAATCTGAATTAGGAGCACTCGGAAGCATTCTCAGCTTCTCGGGAAGCATTCGGTGCAAGCAGTTGATTAAGCTCTCAAACACAAACAAACTGACAAGATCTTGTATGCTCTCTCTTGTGTGGCCTCCAGGCTCAGGCTATTGTGGTGGGCTTCCTCTCCTCGCTCACTGCCATGATCATGGGCTGGATCCCAGAGGGCAAGTGGAACACGGAACACGGACTCCTGCTCTGTGCTAGCAGTTTGTTTACAGCTTCTATAGCCAGCTTCCTCCTTGGTAAGTCACATATTTCTTTATCAGGGCGTTAAAGTCAATGAATTATCGCTTCTTTTTCAGCAGTGACATTGCAAATTACCTTTTTATTACCTAGATCTGCTTGTTCACCATTTTTCTCGCTGTCTTCCATTCTTAATTTTTATCGCAAATAACAGCACTATTATTGTTTGGTTAACCCTTAAAACCCTGAATTCTTTTTTTTCATACCTCCCTAGAATCCTGAATTAAAATTGAGATACTAGAAAAAATTAGGTTGGTTCATTATTTTGTTTACTGCGTCTTTAATTGTTGTTAGATTTTACTGAAGTTTGAAAATGTTATTTATATATGAATGCACAGTGTGAACAAAAGGGGAAAAGGTCAAAACACTGGTTTTTAGGACCAACTCTATGAGTTAAGTCTTGTGTGTGATCCCCGACTCTACTTCAGTCAAAGTATCCCAGTCGTAGATCTAGCCTCTGTTAGCTTTAGTGGTGATCCCCTGCCAATTCCACTATCATCAAGATCATCATCGATGTTATGCGGAACATTGCAATAGTCTTCAACGGTCATATTATCGATATATCCGACTGGGAGATCATTATTGGGGTCTGGTTAGGATCAAAAATGTAAAAAATTTTGCGGCCTGAAGGGCCTGGCAGCGAAAAGTGACTAATTTTTCTTAAAAACTCGCAAAATTTCCTAATTTTCGGTGTAGAACTGCTCTCATGACATTATCGGTACTTTCTGCTCGTGACAGAGTCATCTGGAGTTACGTCCCCTGTTTCTAGCATTGGGAATTAAATGATAAAGTCGACCAGCGGTTACCAGCGGTATAGGAAAATACGGCGTCAGCGGTTACCAGTGGTATAGGGTTTTAAGGGTTAAACACATTTTTTGACTCAGCCGTAGACAAATATTTTTTTCTGGATATTTATTCCACAGGTGTGGTGATGGTCATTGTGATCTTGTTGTCCAGATATTTCAAAATCAACCCGGACAACGTCGCCACGCCCATCGCTGCCAGTTTAGGAGATTTAGTCACCCTCTCACTCTTAGCATGGGTGGGCAATCTACTATTCGAGGCTATAGGTATGTTATACATGTCTGTCTGTAGAGAATATTTATGAGTCTGCCATTATCACATTTGTTTGTCTATATTATTTCTGTAAAAGAGGAGACTTTTTCTACCGCTATATTTGACATTCTTTTAGCATATAGTATGAAACTAGTGCTTGTTATGAGCTTTGCTCAGTTGCTAATTGAAGCAGTGTGCATTTGTTAAGTCATGCTAAAAGCTTATTTTTGCTTGTTGCATGGCTACGAGTATGCAAATGAGGCAAGTTTTGCCCATTCATCTCTCTTCACTACCAAGTGAAGTCATACTTTACAGTCATGTGACGAGGGGAAATTTTTCCAAGTGTGCAGAGGGTCTTATTACCCTTGTTGTCTTCTAAGCTAGACTTCTACATATGTACATGTATAAGATGTCCGCTTATAATCTTGCACTCTTGTGTCTGGATGAAGTAGGGTCTGGGGAGGGTTCACTGGGACATAATGGTTATGTGCTCTGCTGTTGTATGAAGAAGACATGAGTTCGATTCTTGTGTGGGGAGGATTTTATAGAGTATCTTGGTCATTCTGCTAGGCTGAAGTATCCGTCTGGGCCCAAGTTGGCCCTGACAGGAAGAGTCATAAGCCCACTTCCTAATAGGTCTAAATTGTGTATATGGCATGGGGTTGGAAATTACCTACATTTAAAAATAAAATTCATGTAGCACATGACACATTTTGTTTTGTTTGTTTTTGTAAAGTGTTTTACGACGCTCGCAACTGCATAGGTCATATGAGCGCGTGGGACACACCTAATATTTTCAGTTGGTAGGAAATTTCGAATTTTGCCCGGGTGGCGGCCGAAGCCTACTCTTATCGATTTTAGACCACCAAGGGATCTTTAACGTGCGCAACTTGCACACGGGCCCTTTGAGATTTTTCGCCCTTGTCCGAGAAGGCTAGGTGTAGATCTTTCCTACCAGAAGATCAGGGGTGTGGCAGAAAGACAGCAGTAAGGAGGAGCCAAGGAGTAACAGTAGAAAGGCTGCAGAAAGAGTCAGGAGCCCAGAGGAGGGGGCAAAGGAGGTGAGAGGGTGGGGGCAGAAAGAGGAGACGAAAGCAGACGACAGAACATTGCTAGAGAGCAGGAAAGGAGGTGAAAGGAGACAATTTTAGAGAAGAAAATTTGTCGGTCGCTACCCGGATTCGAACCCGGGACCTTTGAATGAGAGGCCAACACCTTAACCTCTAGGCCACGAGAGCCCCCTACATGACACATTTGTGTTGAAAATGATGTGTTAAGTGAGAGAAGTGCTTAGCTCTATGATTTCCAATAATGATATTATAATGCAAATAATTTCTTTAGTGTTTTGTCCCCTACAATACAGCTCTAGGCACTTTTACAGTACCTTCATCTCAACATAAAAGACAAGTGGATGAACATGCATTCATATGTTCTTTAGAATAACACTAACACATAAGCAAATATTCATTATATCATAGCACAATACACAGCGATACGCTCATCACATTATGAGTATATAAGCATTGTGAAGACAAGGGACTAACTATACCATATTACTTCTTACCTTGGGATAGGCTCATGTTGTCTCTTATATATAAAGATATATTTGCATGCATATCCGTCACATAGATCCATGATAATAATAATGATGATAATGATTATGATGATGTGATTGAACTAAAGAAAATTAATTGATCATTGTGAGAGAATGTACTGTTATAGTGCATATCCTTACTTGAATGTAGGCTCTATGACTTAACATGTTATTTCCAGGGGGTCCAATTTTAGTTTTGGGGTCTGCTTCCATCTTAAAGGTCGTGATGACATTGTTTTGGTGTCTCCCCAGGTAAAGAACACTGGTTAGCACCGACAATCATTGCGTTTTTCCTGCTGCTGTTACCGTTGTGGGTGGTGATTTGTGTGAAGAACAAGTACACCAACGACGTCATTTACAGTGGCTGGGTTCCTGTCCTCAGTGCAATGTTCATATCCAGGTGAGAAATTTTTTTTGTTTTCCTGAATTACCCCGGAACCTTTCGATGCAGAGTCTTTGGGCCGAATATTTAGTTGGGAAAGCTTAATCAGGAGTGTTCTGTGTTAACTATGCTCTTGGCTTTAATGTCTAAAAGGACTTTATTTATGAACTGCTCATGTGAAAAAGTGGAAAAATAGAGACTTTGTAGGGGGTGGGGGGGATTCTGTGTCACCATTTAAGGGCTATAACTAGGACAATTAAGAATGGTTTTGTCGTATGCAGAGACGTGCATCGATTTATTGATCCTGTACCAGTGCAAGCTTTCAGATTATTTTAATGTAGTAATGAGACGTACCATAAATGCTAGAGAAATGTTTAAATACAGTGGAAATTGTTTAAGACGGTCACTCATTGTCGATGAGAAAAGTGGCCAACTTAGACAAGTAGACATCTTACACAGTGTCGTTATAATGTTTAAAAAATAACACAATGGGTAAATGGGGAGTGGCTGTTTGTAAAGCTAAGGTGATTGTCTTTTACAGATAGCAGATAGCAATTAGAGCAGGTGTGACTGTATCGAGTGTGATAAAAAGACCAAGTGTCAGAAGTACAGCATTGTTCAAAGAGGCCAAATGTGCTTATTTATGTTTAAAGATTTGTTGTTGTTCCTGTTTGCTGATATTTGTTTGTGCTAGGATTTATGTTGTGTATATTTTTATGTTTTACTTTTGCAAAAAAAAAATTAATTTTGAGGGGGGGATGGGTTTGTTTTAGAGGGTTTTTTTTTTTTAGGTTGCAGCTGTGTATTTTTATTTCAAGTTGAAAATAAAGTGAGTTTATTATTTTTTTATTTTACAGCGTAGGTGGTTTGATATTAGACTACACAGTCGCAAACTATGACGGAATAGCAGTGTTCCAACCAGTAATAAATGGTAAGACCATGGTTCTGTGAGGACCGCATATTATATTTTGAATTTTGTTTGTATTGACGATGAAATTTTGTTGTAATAAATTCCACTCTTTCAACTTTCAATGTGTGAACAGTTCAGCTGTACAGTGAAAGCCTGTGTGTAAGAAATTTGAAAGTAACAATTTGTTTTATTTTGTTGAAATCAGACTCCCTTTGAGACTCAAAATAGGTAGCAATGCCAATCGGGCTTTCCCGCACGACGAAAATTTGGTCCCCGTTTGCGGGTGATTTTGCGGACCCGGCCGAAGCGTAGGTGACTAACTTTGTCAACCTCGGTCTGCTCTATTTCCGAACCAATCCGAATGAAACTCGGCAACCAATCAGAAAATAGGGCAAACTAATGATATGTGAACGTTGAAGTTCGTACACATAAATTAACCTATACTTTTGGTGTCGGGAACACTTTCGTATCGGGTACACCGAAAACTATAAGGAGTTTGAATTTCAACACCGAGATGGTAATAGACCTATCTATCCTCTATAGTGTGTTCAAATTTGAACGTTCTGTGTCAAGTAGTTGTTTAGACCCGATCGTAAATCTACGACTACCCCCCTATCCAAAGCGGCTTCTCACGGAGACCGGCCATTTTCCCCTCACTCTCGCGGCAAATGTATGTGACCTACAAATCCCCGCATGACTATTCCGGGCCCTTTCATTGGTCACTTGAAATAGGGCAATGGCGGGCGCGCGCATCCGGTTGTTTTTCTCTCCGTTCCCCTGTAACATCGAAATGGGGGTATTCCGAGGCGTCTCAACGGGGGAAAAGAATTTTTAATTGTTCGGCATGCTAGATGAAATTAACTTATCTTTTACGGTTTGCATGGTCTAAAGTCATCATTAAAAGCTTTGCAATTATTTAGTCACGCTGCCTACATATATTCTTAAAGATCCCAAGTTGTGATACGATGCTATAAATAAAATGGACTCATCCCGACACCCCTTTTTCGCAAAATCGTAATATGTACACCAAAATTTTAATTATAACAAAATAACTACGGAATGGGTAGTAAATCTGACTGCAGAAATGATTTCTGCACCCAAAAACACATCGGGTAGCCAAGTTTCTCTCTAACACTCCGATTAGTTACCGAGATATCGTCGATTTTCTTACAGAATCTGCTACTTTGTCGTCCACTTTTTAGGAGTATTTTCCTATATGTGGGTCATCCATATTTTGCCGACCTTTACAACCCCATAACTTTTTTATTTATAAACCGATTCTTAAAATTCAAGAAGCATAATTCTTAGAATTGAAAATTCTTTCTTAGGTACCAAATAAAAAAGTAAAAAAATTAAATTTTCATTGGCATTGCTAAAATAGGTTATATTGAGGACTCAAAGACTTGGTTCTTGGACAGGATAGTATGTCAGAAATCACAAAATAGCTGATAAAAAGATGAGTCTTCAGGCTCTTTTTATATGTGGTCAAAGTTGCTGCTTGCCTGGTATTAAATTTGTGTGCATGTCTGGAGAAAGGTACCGGAGGATGCATTTGCTCGAATTGAGATACAGGGCATTATAGGTCAAAAATATTTTTTTAAAACAATTTAACAAAAATTTAAAAATTACTCTTTAGCCATTTGTCTGCCTATGTTTTCATGACTTTGTGTTTATTTGACCCTATAAATATTTTTTTGAAGACGTTTTTTGACCAAAGTCATCTTAGGTAACAACAAAGGTTGCAAGAGAACATTTGCTGTCACAGCCTACATTGCGGAAGGCTTCTTCGACCCGTTCATGAAAACAAATCCAATCACACTGGACTCTGTATACCTAAATTTTGGTCAACTTGTGTCCTTTCTAGTGATGTGTAGTTCGCCTGAGTACATTGACACAGTAAAGGAAGGAAGGCTCCGTGCATTTACATACCCTCACATTTTTCGTAAGCAAAGTGAAATCATTTTGTGAATTTTCTAGTTCTATTTTACCAATCTGGGAAGTGTGCATGAGTGTAACAAAACAGTAAAGGATGGCAGCTGTTTCGCATTTGTACACTGTTTGACTTTGAGCAAAGTATAACCTCAAAGCTACTCTTTAAAATTTCTAGCGTTGTTTTTGATGAGGACTTCTATGACTCATTCATGTAAAATTAACCCCTTCTCATCTTATTAAAAAAATAGTTATCTCCTTTCTAATGACGTGTGACAAAGTAAAGTACGCACATGTATATACCCTCACATCTTTCATGTTTTGAAATCATTTTGCAAATTTTCTAGTTTTTTTTTACAGTGAATTTGTTTTATTATTTTACATAAATGTTGTTTCTCTTCTATTTTTATACCTTTTGTATATATTGTCTTTTCCATATCACTTCTTTTTTTTGTATGTTACTCTCTAGTAGCACCTTTTTTGACCTATTTGTTTTAAGTGCAGTCAAGTTCTGACTAAAACTTTAAAACCATATATTCTAATTGTTTTTTTGTGTTTTATTTCCTCTTTTCAGGTGTGGGTGGTAACTTAGTAGCCGTTCATGCTAGCAGACTTAGTACTACGTTACATCTGAAAGGTCGACCTGGTTCTAAAGTCCGCGATAAGAAACTCCATGGATGTCTCAACCCATTTAAAGTCTTCTTTGGGACTGGTAAGAGAGTACTATGTTCAGTGAAGATGGTTTCTTTCCCTAGTACTGTCTTGCTGACATTATTTTATTATTTGTTGGGTTTATTGAAATCAGTTTTCAGCTTTAAATGTTTTTGACTGATACAATGCCAGTCATGTCCAGCTAGCTAGTAGGTACCACAAACCCAAATTTCAAAGTGCTTTGATCAAACTTATGTTTGTTGCATCATAAAGAACTATGCAAACCATGAACTTTGGTGTTTGAATTATAGAAATAGGACAATAAATAAAAAAATGACAGGCGTTTGAAATTTGTGGACGTCCTAAATTTTTGGCAACGTTAAAATCACGTTAAAAAGTGCGATTTTGTGAGTTCACAGAAAATATATTCAGGTACATAAAGTGTGTATTATCATTTGTTTCAACAGGTGCCAGTATAAACTATGCAAAATACCAAGATGAGGACAATCAGAGTTTAAATTAAGCCAATACAGAGACTTAAAATTGGAAAAAAATTACTCCTTGATGCATAATGTTAATTCAAAAATGCTAAAAAGACTGATTTCAGATATCAATAAAATGGAAAGTTATTGCTGAAAAGAAATGAAACTTACAGAACATATTCACAGTAGTGCAAATTCATAGCCCAATTTTTTTCAGAGTTCTGGCACTTCAATTTAATCAGTTATGGAACCACAAAAACGGGAAAACTGCCAATTTTGCGTTATAAACAGAAAATCACAACACGGTACACATGGCCTAAACACTTTTCAGAATAAAATCACCAAAAATCATGGTAAATGTCTGAAACTTTCCATGCCAATGTACTTTTGGACCAGGAATCCATTTCTGTTATCATTTCTGTGATAACATGAAGCATTACAATGATATGAGGTTAGATAAGAGAAAAAATAAATTGTTCGGCAAAATTTCAACAAAATCATCTATAACTTCTATAGAACAACAAGAAAGACGCCCTAAAGCTCCATTTCTATGTGTTTTTGGGCCAGGAATCCATTTCTGCAATCAAATCTGAGATAAAATGAGGCATTAATAAAGTAAATATTCAACAATGACAGATCAGATACACAAACACACACAAAAACTCCTCAATTCTAATTACTTTTTTTTTAATTGGAAAGAATCTCCAAACAATTTTTTTTCAAAAATATAAAAAATCGGGCAGAAGCTCCCGCCCGGGCAGAGCCCATTTTCGTTTCATGACGATGATTTTTTTCCAAAAATATAAAAATTGTGCAGAAGCTCCAGCACGGGCAGAGCCCATTTTCAAATCAAATTAAGGCCAGGACAATTGGGGAGAGGGTGGAGGAGACACAAGTTAGATCTGCAACAAAGCTCAAATTCCCCATGGCTCATTAATCTTAAAAAATTGGGTCTGTTCAGGAATAGATCTAGCAATTCTAAAGGTACCGACTTATTTGATAATCACGAATTATTATGAATGAAGCTCTCGAGTAGGAGAGTCCATTTTCAGCAGTAAACCAGCCTCTAAAAGTTGTATAAAAAAATAATTCAATTGGTGTCGGTACTTGTTTCATGAGTCTAAATAGATATATTGGCTAAAAGAAAACAATTAAATGAATCAAAGACTTTGTCAGATATTCGCGATATTCAAGAGAATATATTCATTCATCAATGAACAAATGCCAGCTGCACCCCCTTCACAGACGAGTTCATCGAGCTTGTTATGATCTTTAAAAAGAGGTCACCATTACGGAATCATCGATAGAATGAAATGGTCACGTGACCAGAAAAAAACACCAATTTTAATGACTAAAAACAAATTGATTTAGATTTCACCATATTTTCAAGAAATTTAAGCTTCTTATCTTTCTATCCAAACCAGATTTACAACAATACTGGGTACTGAATTAATTACACGATGCTCTGAATGAGACCACCCGTTCGCATGTTTGCGATCTCGGATTCAAGCCCTAGCTAGATCTAGGTCAGGCAAAGGTTGATGACTTTATGAAGAACTATGTAACACTATAACAATCTAATTAACAAAATCAACTTACCGCACATTTCCTGAATATCCCTATCCATTATTGGAAGCACAATGCAGCCCTTAATATGCACTTATGTACGTGAATAGAGCGTAATCGAAAATAGGTAGTAGTGCACGTAAAGAATTCTTCGCCATTACTGAATCAAGCGCGTCGCCAGAGATGGGACCAGCATGTGTGTTTACAAAAACAAGCGGCGCTAAACGGCTGCCAGACCAATCGTTGTCATTTTTCCACACGATTCCCTTGACATGTTCTACTTTTGAGTAGACCAGGGTTCTTTCTACCAATCATTGGTCAGACTTGGAGATTTCCATTCTAAAAATAGGTTCCAAAACTCCGATATTTCTGGGTCAACAATTAACTTTAGCAACAAGCGCTTGGTACCGGGTGAAAGCCTATTCAAAGCTCGTTCTTGCACTTTTTGTTTCATGACGATAGCAGTTATATCCGCGTAGCGCGAAGGCTTTTTATGAGGCACCCTAAATTTTTGTCGCCGCGGCCGGCATGAAAAATGACGCGAAAAACGCATTCCCGTGCATTTCGGTGACCCTTTTAGATAGCTTACTATACAATATCTCGTTTCATGCCGTCCTCAATAGTTTGATTTTAGCTAAAAACAATAGTTGAACTGACTTAGTTTGAAACGGGGTGAAGATTGGTGTCAAATTAGAAGAGTTATGGTTGATTAAAAATGACCAAATTTCGAGCTTCCTACACGCTTTCAACTGCGCAGAGGCGGGGGTTTGTGGTACCTATAGCTAGTCCTTTCTTTTCTTCCACAGTTGTTTTTTTCTTTTGTTCTGGATATGATATGGCCTTGCTCTTTAAAGTCCTTCCAACTCCAGGTTCTCTGCTTTTTATTTTGATTTGCTATTTAATCTTTACCCTCCATCATACTCCATGCCTTTACTTTGTGCTCATTATATAAAGTGAAGAAAATATGAAATCAATGGGTTTTTTTAAATATAGTGTCTTTTGGTATCTTGCCATAGCTGTCTATTAGAACTATTTTCAAGCTTGTGTCACTGCAGAAACCTTATATAACATCTGCTACTCTGGTTTTAGAGACAAGTGAGCATTGTGTCATATTCTATACGAAGAAATAAATAATAAATGTACTGTAAATTTTTACACATAGGTTTTAGGTTTACTTATAATTTATTCTCTTTCTTTTTAACTTGTTGGAAAATAGTACAACGCAACAGATATAGTTTACTGTAAAAAAAGGTTCATGTATAGGGCTGTTGAAGTATTCTCACTGACTGGTCAACATCATCATTTCCTTTCTCACCTTGGACCAGGGTAAGTTAGGCCACCAATGAATGTTTTCCACTTAACTCTATCTTGGGCTAGCTTCTTAACATTATTCCATGTCTTTCCACTTTTTTGTGCATCGTTCTCTGTGTTTTTCCCCCCCAGGTTCCTCCTGGCCTTCCCTTTGATCTTTTACCCTGTGGATTCCTAACTCACTGAGTGGAATGATCTTAAATATTTTTTGTTTTATTCAATCTTGTCACAGGTGTTCACTCACGAGCGTCCAGGGTGTTAACTTTGCTGACCATCCCTGGTCATCTGCTGTTTGTCTACACAATCTACTACATGAAGGCTGGCCACACTTCTATGAGTCTGCTCTTCAATGTCTTCTACCTCACTGCTGCTCTTCTGCAGGTAAGTGCAGAACCTGTTGCTAGATATAGGGATAAAGTCACTGGAGATGTTACTTAAAAAATTATATTTTAAGACAAATATTGAAAATTTCTCGGTGCAAGTGTTTTTCAGAGAACAGTTTTAAATTTAGCCCCGCCCCCAGTATCCAGTTTTCCAAGAGTATTTTTTGTGGTTTAAAAAGGAAAGGAGACAAGGTTTTATCAAGTACTTGATGATGCTTCCATTTGCAACTTACTAAATTGTCAGTCAGTGTTTTATACTATAATGTGAGGAAGTGGAGAAGAGAAGAAATTGTAGGAATGTTTTTTATTTTGCTAATATAACAGAGACTGTTCAGTATAGTGCAGTAGTCTCTGTTTAAGATCCGGATGCTTGGGAGCATGGGAAATGGGTGAACGAGATCTTAGCTCACTCACCGAGGGGATACACCACGGTGACTAATAGTCAGTCCCACAATTGATAAAAGGTCTCCCCTTACTGTGAAATGAACTGATGTGGACTTGTAGGCCCAACCTACCCGACTTGTGATGTCAGTTCCCTGAAGAGCTCAGGTATGAGTGCAATGCTTGGGGAAAACAAACATATCAACGAGTTCACACCGAGGTGTGACCTATTTGGGGCGAACATTTGTACCGTTTCATCGAGATTTACAAATGAGATGTGATCATATTCACTAGCGGATGATGTGTGACGCAACGAGCAGTACAATGGTCACAAATTTTTAGTCTTTGGTTGATTTGCTGTGCCTGCTCGGGTTTTGTTCTGTGAATTATGATCTGAAATGTGGGATCTTAGTCGAATGTTATCCTTCACAGTGCGATCTTAGGGGTTATTTTTGTGTAGAGAAAATTCTGTTTTATGAAAACAGAATTACAGCGGGATCTTAAAGCATTGCCCGCTTTTGTTTGACACTTCAGTCCTTGTGACTCGTGTCTCCTTATGATTTTGTGAACTGTGACAGTTACAGGTTCGACAAGCAATAAACTCCCACAGGTAGGGGTGAAGCCGCCTGCCTCCTAAATAACCTGGAAAGTGTCGATGGGTGCATAAAACTTCAAAAATTATTTAAATTAGAACTTCCCCTTAAAAGTTTTCCTAGATTGACTTGAATCTGTGTATTTGTCAGTGTTTTGAACTTTACCTTTTCCGTATGTTTCAGGTGATATTGCTGATCTACATTGCCACCTGGCTGGTTCCTCTGATCTGGGTCACGGGTTCGGACCCGGACAACGTGGCCATCCCCTATTTGACGGCACTGGGTGACCTGCTGGGTACAGGTTTCCTCGCCGTGGCCTTCCATCTGCTCTACTTACTCGGGGACCGTGATGCTGATGTGGGAGACTAGGCCAAACTGTAGACATATGTCTGTGTGTCTTTGTGTGGGTGTGTGTGTCTGTCTGTGTAAGTATAGATGATGAAAGTGTTGCCAAAGATGGTAAATCAAGGGAGAATGGTCTTTGAACATTTTGGTCCATTTTGTTTTGATGGCACCACTCTTGTCGAAAGAAATTAGTCGTGTGATTGACTCACATGTCACGTTGCTGTGCTTTTTTCAGAGACTCTTAGACCTTTAATCATGTCATGGCTTACTTTGGCCCTTTTTGCTCATTTTGTGCCAAAACGTGGCTCAACATGTATTTACAAAGGCACATGTTTCCTGGGTTTTCAATTGGGGAGTAAACTTGTCACAAGGGGGGGGTAAATTTAAACTTCTGATGGGGTTGGCACTGATATGTTTCCTTGTAATGGATTCTAAATTTCCTATAATAAAGTTACAAATTTGTTTTATCATTTGTCTTATGACTATTGCTATTTACTGTGAATGAATTATAATGCATAAAGTATGTATTTGATTGGACATTTGCATCTCACCATAATATTAGTTATCTGTTGTATTTTGGCAACTTGAGGAGTTTACCTGTTAGCTTTTAAGTATTTTATTTTATTTTTTTTCAATGTGCGGTACATAATCATTTCTGCATGATGCCTTTTATTGGCTAAAGGAAGAGATTTTCACAGGAAGTTTGAACAGAAGCCCTCTAGTAGTCATAACAATTGCAGGTTAGAAAATAGTTGTAGGTCTGCTTTGGGAACAATCCCAGCAGTTTCACATCTTTGATTCTAGTCATGAAGTTTTCATGAATGCCAAATGTACTTTTCACCTTTACAAACTTTGTAAACTGACTTGAGCAGGTTTGACGTTACTTCCATTTGTAAAGAATAGTAAAAGAATGTGGTAGTCCAATGGTTAGGCTTTCATTCATCCAGTACCAGATCTGCGGCAGACATCGGCGATCATGGTTCTCCGTTCATTCCTTTGCTCGGATGCTCTTAAAAAAGTAACATTTCCCTGATCTTTCCCCATTACCTGTTTGTTTAGGTTCCCTAAGTAGGTTGCTCTGGGCCTACCCCTGCCTCCTTTGCCTTCAATTTTGCCTTGATGTTCGAGACCTTTATGTCTATTCAGGTGTCCCAAAGACTGTATGTTTAGGCTATTAGACTGGTAATTCAAAGTAATTGTGAGGTTGCAGGTTCGCACGGTTGGAGGCTCAACTCGGTCCGACATTGGGTTCATGGGGAAAGGCACTTTACATCAATTTTCGTCACTTCACCCAGTTGTGAATGAATGCCTGACCATAGGCAGCTAAAGATCTTGTCAGTATGTTTGCGTTTTAAGCCTTTGATAAGGCAGCTTGAAGTGTATGCTTCCTAGGATGTTCAGATTGTTTGAAATTGCCGTCAAGTCTGCTGGGGTAATAATACAGATGTAAATTACATTGAGCTTGCTGTTGAGTGGGAGTTGCACTATGCAAATGATGTTTATTATTATTTATTATGCATAGTGAGTTTGTTAACACTCACAAAGTGTATACTGAGTGAGGACATTTGTCTGATACAATTTTCGTGTGGTCCTCGAGGTTTGCCAAATGTTTTAAGTCCATGAAACTTCTTAACATGTAGTATTGTACTACTTTTCCACGATGGACCTGTCTAGTCACGACTTTAGTGGATGTGAACTCTTTGAGAGAAACATAAACATGTTGTCCTTTTTTTGATTACCTGTGTTGTATGTACACACAAGCATGTTGTTGCCAGTTCATGAGAAAGAATGTATAAATGGAAGTTAAGTTCCCTAGGCTTATGTCTTCTTATCACCAATGATTAATGTGAGAAAATGTTCTGTTTCCTCTCATCTATTTCTAAAGTAGTTGAATCCATAAGAAAGAAGGTTTTTTTCTTCTAAAACTTGGTTTCTGACATTTGAAGTGAGCTCTGTGATGCATTTGCAATGATATTGAGGGTGTGGCCATAGACATGCTTTCTTTTCTTTTTAATTAATGCTGTTGTTCAATTTCAGGGTTGTACATTGTTGTGCTCCAAATAATTTCTTTTATTGCTCTAAAATAGGTTTGCTCTCAATTTGTTTTACATGTAGTCAGCACTTGATTCTTATTTCCTTTAACTGGACGACTACTTTTATTTGGTTTGAAAATAAAATGAATAATGCTCTACTCTGTCAGGTTCCTGACCTATAGTTTTTCTTGCATTTGCTTTTGATGTTTTATTGTTTTAGTAAGTCCTTTTTACTCAGTTCATTTTTGTTTTGTTTGGTGTGAAGTGGATTTACAGCTTTTTAATAGTGGATGAGGGAGGGTTTGTGAAAAAATTTGTTGCTTACATTACAAGAGACTTTTAGGCATGGACTCTGTAACTGCAATAATTTTCTTACTTTCCTGGTGTGTGAAAATCTTTTTCAGAGTGAATATTTTGTGAGACTGAAAAGCAGACCCAGATCACACCAGTGTTCATGTGTTTTATGTAGATGTCAATGTTTGCTTCAAAACTATAATTTGTTTTGTTATAAAACCAGTTACTGCAGACTAATTTAATGATGCATCTGTTTCATGAGTGAACTGTTGCTGCTAACATTACATTGAGATTACTTTCGATATTTTTACTGTTCGTTTTTTTGGGGTTAAAAAAAAAATTCTGGTTGAGTTTACTGTGTTTGTCACGTATTCTTTAAATTTTCAACAATTTTAAAGACTTTTTTTCCCCCAGCATTCTCATCTGGGATTTGAATTACATGCAGTGCGTTGAGTTTACTTTGTCTTGTGTTGCATGCAACCTTTTGGACTGTTGTTATTTATACTTTAATTTTATTATAGCAGTACTTTATTTTGTTCATATGTGAATGGTTTATTGTCTAATATCTGTTTTAGTTTTAGTAAGAGTTTTTCACTGAAATGGTGTGAATTTTAATCATAATTCTGTTAATGTTTTGAGCTGTTCCTCGTAAAGTAAAATCAAAGAAATATCATTTTTACTGGATTCACTAAGTACACTAACTTGTTTTGAGGTTTTCTTTAAAGTGTAAAAACCTCCTGACTTATAGCTATTAAGAGAAATTTCTTAAATCTTCACTTCATCCTTTAGAAGAATAGACAATGGGCTTTCATTCCATCCACTTTTGCAGATCAGGTTATGTTGTTGCATCAGCCAACAACACTCTCCCTCCCCCCCCATGTCATGTGAATTGTGACAGCTTGGTGTAAACCTTTTGAATGAACGGTTGTTTTACTCTTTTTATTTTGACTCTCACTTGTAAGTGTCAGACTTTGGAGCAGTTTTCCAAAAGCTGGTATCAGAGACATATTTGTATGAGTACTTAACTTCTGTCTGTGTTTCCCTGAGGAATGAGAGAAGTTTATTTGTCATTTTATGTCCTTTGTTTTTCATGGGAGATAATCTTTCTTGACTCTTCTTTCTCTTCCAGTCCATTATTTTTCTTCTTTTCGTTCCTTCAAGCATCATTTTGTTTCAAAGGATTGGATGCTGGATTTCTCTTGCCTTTCTGTCACCATGACTTTTTATCTTCAATTTTGTTTTGGTCTGGTAATTGATGCTCGCTGATTTTTGTGAGCTGCATTCTCCAACAGTGAACCACTCTGATGATATGACAAAGTCAGATAAGATGACTTAATTACTGTATGTTTCTCCTGCTGGGGACTCTTATTATACTGCTGGGTCTACTTTTGCTCCAGGTTGTTTTTCTGTTGTATCTCTTTCCTTCAGTAAACTATTCTTTAAGATGAATCTGTTGTCTGATGATTCCTTCACTTTTTTGGGTTTAAGAAATTATTTTTTTTCGCCTGTTGTGTTCATAAAATATAGAATGGGCATTAAAATTTGCTGTTAAGTGTACCGACAGAATGGTATGAGAGTTTGAATTTCCTATGTATGCACTAGCCAGCTCAGAGAAATGGTCATCTGTAGAATACCATCATAGCATATATGGCACACATGCCCGGGTAAGACACAAGTAGACTTGACAGCCAAAATTTGGGTATAAATCATATTGTGGCTTAAGTATTGTAACTCAGTTTTTCGCAAAAATCGCTTTTTTACATATTCCAGGGCATTGTGAAGGTGTGCATGCCCTTTAAAAACCTCTCAAAGTCATGCAATTATTTTGTAAAAGTTCACATTAAATTGAAATTCCAGGTATTGTTGATGGATATATGGGGGAAAATCAGTTTTTTGTTCTCCTTGTTAAATTTGAAAAAGCAGAGGTAGGATAGTTGTGCTGCTACACCCCACAATGTTCACTGGATAAGACATAAGAATTTTTCATGGCAAGCACTATTAAAAAAGGTCTCCGGTTTCATCATTCAACTGAACTGCATCACCCCCATCATACAAGTCTCACAGTTTCTGAGTTTGTTCCCTTGGTGGGCACTGAGGGCGGGGGAGAGAGAGAGAGAGAGAGAGAGAAAGAGAGAGTGAGATGGGGGGGGGGGGGTTGTTGTCTAGTTGGGTTTTTTTAAAATCTCATGGACAACATTCAGAGCTGTTTTGAAGCCCTGATTTTAAGGTTAAAAATTTTTGTCCTATACGCGAAGATGTACTTTGACATTTTGATTAATTATTCTTCCTGCTTTTTTGGTGCTGATGCTGATGTGCTCAACATGTTAAGTTTCATTCATGTAATGATCGAGGCTAGGAGACTTAACCCTTCAAGTGTCGCCAACGAAACAAAACTTACAGCTGATGTAATTGGCCTTTGGCACTTGGAGGTTAAGATATATGTGGCTATCTGAGGAATTTTTTGGGTCAAGAAACTAGAAAATAAGCCTTTCAGCTAGCTTCAAGCAGGTGAAAGACTCGCTTCCCCATTAAATCAGTTTTTAAAAATGGTTTAGGGTTTGTATCTCTACGATTCCAATAGAGCACATGAAATACAGACTCCTTGCAATATTTACAATTCGAATCAGCCTCAGCCAGTCTACATGATCATGTTCTCATGTGGTTCTATCACCCTTTTTTATCAGTGACAAAAATCACGGTTATTGAGCATGTAGAGCTTTGTTGACTCTGATGTAGACACGAGGTTGGTTTCATGAGTGAGCTATATACCAAAGGTTATTTACTTAGGCAGTCATGAACTTAATTTTATCTACTAAATACATATCATCACTTTCACACTAAAAAAAACCCCCAGTAATTCAAATATTTTTATTTACTTTGTCAAGCAAAGTCAAAAGGAGCACCGGTCACTAATTAAATTAATTATAGTGGCAACAATGATATATATATCGTTTGATCAGTCGAAATAAGATCCTACTTACTGATACTGAAATTTACTTTGTCCTGAAATGTGTATACACACATTTTGTGTTGATATTGAACTTC